GTGATCATAGTGTAAGAAATCAATAAAAGGGTTTGGAAACACAAATCATGCTGCCGTTTATTTATTAATTTATCAACTGTTCAAAAAAACACTAGATCTAAAATGGATGATTCAGACACAGATCCGTCTGAAGGCTCAGGTTTCAGCCTGAACTCTGCACTCCCCACCCACAGGAATGTTAGCACACCTTGAGTCAGCCTCCCACCCCTGCCATTCAATCATTACTCAACACACCCATGCAGATTAACCAAAGATTGTCCTCGGACTAAAAATACATATAAGGATGCAGATCAGCAGGATCTAGAAGACAAAACAGTCTGCACATTCTTCTCTTTGTCACCTGGTCGGACATAAAGTCAACTAAACAATCCATTTCTCCCCTATATGTTTTCTTCTGCAGTTATTGCCTCTCCTCATGCTTTCTGACTGCTGATTCTGTCTTATTATCTGCCAACATGTTGTTGTCTGCTTCTGGGGTCCGAGTTCTAGATCAATATATCTACAAATAGCAGTAAATGAACTTGGCAGCCATTCATAATAATACTCTGATTCATTTGATCTGAAAGCTGTCAGTACAGTCAAGATACAAAATTCCAATAAAGTTAGTAAAAAAACGAGCGAATTCACGTTTATGGTTTAGCTTTCAGCTATATTGTAAACAATAACAAGTGGCAGGGATCATACTGTGATTGTCAAATATAGATATTCCTCCACGTATTTAACTACAATAAAACCCACTGAATATCTGTGTATTTATCTGTGCCTCAGCAGATGGCTCCTCGCGCTAAGCCTGGTTCTGCTGGAGGTTTCTTCCTGTTAAAAGGGAGTTTTTCCTCCCCACTGTCCCTACAAGCATGCTTAGTGTGAGGGATTGCATTTGAGTCGATGCAATCAACTGGTTTTCCTTAGATAGAAAACTTTGAATCTATTTGACTGTATGATCTGGTTCAACTGTAAAGTGCCTCGAGAACATATGTGTTGTGAATCGGTGCTATAGAAATAAACTGAATGGAAATTGAATTGTGTAAGAAATCACACACTCTTAGGGGCCCATTCCAGCACAATAGTTCTATAGAGCTGCTTATGTCCTCTTAGTATCTCTGCATAGGGCCGGCTCTACTGGTTAGCTTAGGTCTAATGAGTTTCACATTTCTTTGCACATTTGGAGCCATTTGATATGTTTTGTTAACAGGAAACCTTCAGCACATGACTTTTTGGAATAATGGAAAACTGTCAGCATAGGGGCTGATAGAGCATCACATGAGGGCAGGTAAGCAGCAGGGCTCAGAGCAGGTAGGCCACAAAACATCCTCGAAGAGTTGTCTAAGACTATTTCTGTTGGGGATCTTATCTGTTGGGGATGTTAATATCTGTTCCAATAACATAAGATAAGATAAGGTAGACTTTTTTTATTTCACAGTGGAGAAATTCACTTGTCATATTGGCTCTATAGTCAAAAGAAGGTGCCAAAAGGATGAAAAGGTGCATGGCATATATACAGTATACACAGTGCGTCCACATAAATATAACAGCCGAAGTCTCTTATTTAGCAGGATTATTGCAAAGGGTATTAAATACTTATTCATATAAATAGGTATGTATATATATAGTTAGTGCACAGGGTGTTAAATATAAATAGGTTATTGCACAGGGTGTTAAATAAATGCTGAACATTGGACCAAATTTATCCTGAAGAAGACAGCAAAGTAACTCCTTATCAACATCAATAAACATTTTTATGCAAACAGATTTTACTTAGTTAATTACTGATTTTATCTTACTACATGTTGTTCAGCGTCTTATAAATGTCTATAAACCTCTGGTCCAGAAATCTCAGCATAACTTTTTGGTTCTGTCATTTAACTGACTCTTTTCTACCAGAAACTGCAAAGTACCAAAAATGAGCAATTATAAAATACCATTTAAACCGTACAAATCTGTAAAAAATAAAAGTTAATATTAACTTATAATCTGTATGTTGTAATATTTGCAGGTCTCAGGTGAGTTTTTCAGGAGGTGTGGCTGTAGAGGAGGATGTAAGGCTTTATTTCTATTTGCAGGATGATTTGGTTTATACTCTGCTGACAGTAAGATAAGATTCTGAATCCTATAAAAACTCCTGATGGTCTTGATAAGAGTAAATGGATTCAGAAAAAAACAAAATCTTCCCCTCTTAATGTGGGGATTATCTCCTAAGATCAACAACATAAAAAAAAGATATGTTTTTGTTGTAAGCGTTCAGAAAACTTACGTGAAATTGTGCCTATTAAATTCTAATTAAGAAGCTACAATAATTGATTTGAATCAATCGATTTAAAAAGTACTTAGTTAATTAAATGTTCTTTAACATATCATAGGGGATGTTGTCGATGCTGATAGTTGTATGTCCTGTAGCAGTCTGTGTCACAGCGGCTCTGCAGAAGCCTCTGACTGCAGACACTGTTGTTGTCCCTGACAGCGATGCTGTCCTTAAAGGGATAGTTTAGGTTTCTGGACATGAAGCTGTGTGAAACTTTCACCATCTGTAGCTAAGATGTAACATTGTCACAATCGTCACCACACCTCCTGCTCTGAGAAACATACGGTACTAGAGAAAAAGTATTTTTAACACGGTATGGAGGCCACAAATAATCAAAGGTTTTTAAGCTAGAAAAACTATTTATGGTTTTTGTCAGACTATTTCAACAATTTTAAAAAATCCCAAAGCTATTTCAGACCTTGATATCAATTTGGACAATTTTTAGCCGCCGAGTAGGTGTGGAAGACGATTCCTGTGAACAGAAATAAATTCAACAGACTTTATTAGTGATGAAAAATATGTACTAGCCCTATACATTGTTTATATATTTATATATATGTATAACTACAGCGTTGAACACCTGCTCAGGCTGGCTATATAGCCAACTTAAAGCTATAATGGAGGATTTTTGCAAATTATTGAAAAGAACCGGGCTTTCCACTTTAAAAACAAAATACACATGCACAACCCTGTACCCGCTCCCAAGTGGGAATGTGTAATAAATGCGTGGAGAGCCCATTACTCCTCGGGCACGCTCTGTTTAAAAGTTGCTGTTTGCATTGCTCATACAAGTTTACTTTCCAAAAAAAAAAGATTTGCAATTTTTGCACTGTCAGACACACAAACGGTGAGTAAAAATGGGGACGAGCACGTAGGACGCCCTTACATAAACATATCACAAGAATGATTGACAATTATGGGGATTACCTTTTTTGATGATCCACCTGGAAAAAGAACATCCTCCACTATACCTTTAAGATCAATTACACCAAAAAATAGTCAGCAGAAATCCAAGATAAAAAGTGTTTTTTTTTTTTTTCCTCTAAAGCATTTCTGCTACAGTGATTAACTTTCTTCATTTCTTCACTGAAGCTGCAATTTAGGCCACTGCTAAACCATAACTTTAAGTGCTGTTCAGTTCCATCCCTTATACCGTATTTTAGTGTTTCTGTGTTTATCTGTGTCTCCGTTCTGATTAAAGCCACTAACGGATCTTTTGCTGACTCATCATTTGCTGTCCTTTTTTCCATGAACGTACCCCTCCTGTCTCAGATCTTCAGTATTTATCTCTTAGCTGTAGAAAACCATTTATCAAGTAAAAATAATAAATGTTTGGATACAAACTGAACCCTTTTGTCCTCTTGTGTGCCCTGTGATAATATTCATTGTAGACGAGAAAATAAACAGAATTGGATAAAATGTCAAATAGAAAAAAAATAATAATAGTATGACAATTTAAAAAAAAAAAATGATACACTCAACATTTCACCTCAGCCCTTCTATATGGCCTATTTGTGTTAGAATGCATTGCATGTTGCATTTTTCACTTCTATCTTTCATAGCCTATCTTTTTCCTCAATGCTCCCTCAGAAGATTAGCCGTCATCTTGTAGCAGGAACAATGAAGGCTGCAGGGGAAGTGACATCATGACTCACAGAAGAAGCAGAAGACAGACGAACATGAGAGATGCAAACGTTTCCTCTCACGGGTCTCAGCTTCGTGCTGCTCATGGCGAGGCATGACGAGGCCGCCAAGCCTTGCAGCACATGAACACACCCAGACCCAGCTGCTTATCAGGCTGAATCACAGCAGGCTGAGCATATTGGAGCCGAGACACATGAAGGATTGAAGGAACACCTGGAGACCTCGTAATAAATCACCAACTTTAAAAGCCTGTAAGCAGGATTTAATGCACTCCAGTTACATCATAAATACTTTTAGAACATCAACTCAGTCACTTATACGATTTAACTTTAATGGAATAATAAATATGTTCTGTAACAAAAAGAAGCCTTAAATATTTCCATGACTTTACTGACATTTTGGTTCATTAATGAATTCTCATGCGACTTGAGACGGATTCACACTTTAGTCCCTTATATAGTGATATAAATCATTTGGATTTTCTCCTTTTTGTAATTAGCCCCGCCCCCTCTGTTCATCTTTGACTAAGCAACCCAGGAACTGAAACATGTCAAGTCATGATCAGTGGATACATCTCTGACTTTTACTAAGCTCTTATGAAGACATTCTCTGAACAGCAAGAGTGTTTCATTGTGAGGCAGAGATCATTAAAAACTGATAAAGAAAATCCACAAAGATGATCTTGTAGCGGTTCAGTGAAAACCTCATCACCTTGTTTTAAATCATGACATCTCTTATTCTTTTTCCTCCTTAGCTCTGTAGGCCTGTTCTGGCTGCTTTTACTATTAAAGTATGAAAAAATTTAAACAGCTATGAAGTGAACGGCCAAAACGGTGACAGGAAACTCTTAGAAGGATTAAAATTCCACTTAATGAGTTAAAAAGTTAAAAAAGAAAAGGTCTCGATGACATGTGGGAGATCCCATTCATTGTTTTTTGTTTTGACAAGCAACAGGTGGGGGAAGGGCTGTGCAAAACAAAATGACCATAAAGGTTTTCAAAGTCTAAGTCCTCAGGTGTGAAGCAGCACAGCCCTTCCCCCACTTGTTGCTGATCAAAACAAAAACCAATGAATAAGATCACCCACATAGCTCCCATTATCAGCAGTCGTTTTTAAAGAATAATCATTTTCTTTTTTAAAATAAAGCCATTAGATCATCATGATCTTTGTTATAAAAGTGTGATAACTCCTTAACTTGCTGCTGTGCACTGCTGTTCAGCGAACTGAAAGAAGGCTAATACAGCCATTACTTACAAGGATAAATTTGGCTTTTTGTGATATTTTATACATAAAAAAAAAAAGATTTAAAAAGATGCCTTTTTTCAATCTAAGGTTAGCAAGATAGCTAACCTGACTAACTGACCTGTTAATACTGGCTTAGTAATGCATGTGTTACTTTAATAAAAACAGAGCAGCTGCAGAATAAAGTCTATTGCTTGCTGGAGCTTAAGGGTCCAGATGATCTTAGATATGATTTATTTTACCAACTTCTGTTTAACTCAATATATGGAGATAAAAAAATATATTATGGTTTATTACAGCTTTAATTTTCCCGATATGAATGTTTAAGCGGAAGCAGGGATATTTCCTGTCTGTTTTTTTGTAAAATAAGTAGAACTATGTTGAATATATATAATTTTTGGTTGGAGATTTTTGTTGAAAATTGTGAAAGTGTTGCATTTTTACTAAAGGTTATCAAACAGTGATAATCTTGTTCTGGCTCATACCTGGTTTGCCATGTGGTATTTGTCTCATTTAACTGTTGGATGTTTTTAGAGTATATACCAGAATAAAGTTTGAACATTTCCGTCATTCGTCAGCACACGGAGGCGTTGGACATGGCTCTGTGTCTGAAGGCAGAGTCCTCCTGCTCCTCTTTGGGGTCCTCGCTCAGCGAGTACAGTCCGGACCTCTGACCGTGTTTCTTCTTGTGCATGATCGCCGCTGGCTGGAAGAGGCGGCTTATGGAGTGTAGTCCTCTGGAAAGGTCCGGCAGAAAGTCCTGCTCCTCTCTCTGGGAAAGAGAGTCCTCCTCCTGAGCTTTGACCTCAGCTTGGGCTCCTCTTAACATCTCCTTCACAGTTTTGGAGATGCCTTTGTGCAGGTAGTGGTAAGCCCTTTTCCCACAGTTGTCCCTGAGTTTAACATTGGCCCCAAACTCGCCCACCAACATGGCCATGATGTATTCCTGGTCATGCAGGGCGGCTATGTGTAAAGGCGTGTACCCCCCGTGGGATTTTGCATTGATGTCGATATCAACCCCTCGTTCTCGAGACAAATCCATCACCTTAGAGAGTATCTTACTGTTTCCACACTTGGCTGCCCAGTGCAGGACGGTGAACCCTGACATGAAGTCCTTCTTCTCTGCCAGCTGGCAGTCGCTGAGCAGCAGGCCGTGGACCTGGCTCCAGTGGCCTGCGGCGCATTTCACCAGCCACTCATGCTCAGTCTGCTCCATGGGGAACATGGAGGACATCCTTGAGTCTTTGGGTTCCTCTGGAACCTTGGAGCTTCTCGCCGCCCTCCTCAACAATGGCGAATGACTCTCCATCATGGACGGCTTTCTCCTGCTCCTGGAAGGGTCTAGTTCTGGGCTCTTGTCGGGTTCTTGATTCACATTCGGTCTGTGGATCTCCACTCTGAGAGATGGCGGCACTCTCAGAGGTAAACCGAAGGGTTTGCTCTGCTCCTTGGCTTCATCTGCCTGCTTGTCTTTTACCTCAAAATTCAGCATCCTACTCATTCTGAACGTGTCCATTTGGCTCCTCTGCAGAGCCAGAAAGATGGGAGATAAAACTGCTGAATTACCCTCAGTACCTGCTGACCCTCCTGGATCCACTGACTTCTCAGTCTTTTCATCTTGCAGACATGGACTCTGCTCCGGCTCACCTGACACCTCCTGTTTACTCTCATGATTACATGTTTCAGTCCTCTGGCTCCCTCTGAGCAAATGTCGGTACTTTTTTTTTAGCAATACATACCGGACTCCCTCAATCTCTTTAACAAAGGCAACGTCATTCACCAAAGTCTTGAAGAGCTCTCTAAGGCGACCTCTCTCCTCCGGATCGACGCACTCCATTGAGGAACTGAATTTTTCAGCCAGATCAGATTTTTCAATTTTGCCGCCTTCATCCACCAGCAGAGAAATGATGGATTCCTGAGTTAAATCCATGAATAAAACTATCAATGTCAGAAAGAAAGAAAAATAAAAGGAGGAAACTTGTTTAGCAGCCACACAGTTCAGACACCTGGCAGCACTGTTCTCCTCCTTCTCACCTGATGACTTTTTTTTTTCTCTCCTTTGGTCTGGGAAAGGTGGGGACTTGAAAATGATTTGAATAATATATGCAGTTTTTCCCCCCCCTGCAGGCAAACGTGAATCAATGAAATGAGACATGTTTTTACTCTCATGAGGGGAAAGACGCTTTTACATATTTAAGTGTAATTGATATGTGATTTGATATGTTTTTTTAATTTTTTTATTTTAATGTATCTATGTTTCTTATGTAACTTTGCTGCCTGTTGGCCAAGACACCCTTGAAAAAGAGGTTTTTAATCTTAATGGGATGTTTTCCCTGGTTAAATAAAGGTTAAATAAAAAAATAAAAATAAAAAATGAACCTACTAATTCTGCCAATTTGAGCTATTGATGTAATGTTGGGAATAAGAAAAAGCCTCGAATATGGCAGCAGGTTTTCATTTCACACGTAAATTCATGAAAACTTTCTTCCAACTGTTTTCCTATGGGCAAAAAAGAAAAGAAACAAACTTTTAAAATAAGCCCATATTAAAAGTAGAATGTGTGACATGCTCTGATTGGCTTTACTCGGCTGTAAATTTGGTCTAAAATAATGTAAGATTTGCAAAACAATGTTTTCACACACAGAAGCATATCTTAATATTTTAATAAGCTGAAATATTTCTGCGGTCAGCTCTGTGTCTGCTCTTGTCCTGGCTTGCACTGTGAGCCGCGCAGCATTCCTGAACCGAAGGGGAGGCTCTGACAAGGAGCGGCCATATTGGAATCAGCGATGTGGCGTCTGTGCCTGAGCCGACTGCTTCTGCCAGCTCCGTTTTGTGAACAGTCAGAGACGTTCCCCTTTTCTTACTTCCAGAAATGTAGATGAACTTGTCCCTTTATAGTTGGACAGTAAATGAGCAGTTTAAGGACATGAACAAAGAAAGCCAACAGACACTCATGTTTTATAGTGATAATATTTTCATATTCGATTCTGGATATGTTGAAACTGATGTAAAGTATTAAAATTAAAATGATACAAAATTCTTCAAGTATTAAGTTAACATGGAGGACAACCAAAATAGATTAGAATTAATTTTTTAATGAAACTCAAAAAGTGAAAAACATTATCAAAACAGTTTATAATGCAGCGTGATATATTATAAATGTTCTGTTTTATGTTGTAAATGAAAGTGATTAGGATTATGATTATTGAAAATCAAAAATTTGTTTCACTTAAAATAAATATAAGTCTGACAAATAAAAGAAGACTTCTAATCCAGAAAGGTTGGTTTTACTTAGTCGTTTAAAATCTCTCTTTAAATACTGCAATTATTTTATTTACTCATTTTATATTTCTATTCTGTTCTGTTTTACCTTAAAATGCTTTGATACAGCAATCTGGAAAATTGAGCTTTCGAATAAATGTCTTTTTCCCTTCTTTTTATTGTTTTAGTTACTATGTGCTGGGCAAATGTCAGTCACCTTCCCCCTGATCATGTAATAGTCCATCAGGGCTGATCTAAGAGGATCCACACCCCTGGACTCCAGCTAGTTTAGGTTATCATACAATGTAAACAAATAAACTTTATGTATCTGAAATAAATACACTAATCATCATTTTGAGCTGGGTCCCAGCAGGGATAAGCATGTCAGAAAATAGATGGATAAATGGAATCATTTTGAGTAAGTAGGCCTATACATTATTAATTCTAAATACATATTAAATATTAATAATAATTTAATAATTGAACTTTATTGATCTCACACTGGAAAAATTCCTCCTGCATTTAACCCATCCCCTTGGGGAGCATAAACATGACAGTTTTGTATTTTAAACAAATGAGCTGTATTAACTAATGAATATGCATCATGAAAGGTTTATCTTATAGCTTTTTGTTTTCTAGAAAACGTTACTGTGAATTTGTTATGTAATAAAAATTTAACACATCTGGACATGAGTGTGGATTCAACTTATTCTAGAGTAACTGGTTACTCAGTCACATGTTTTAACATTAAACTCTCTTAATTGACAACACTTCCAGCTCTCTTTTTTTTTTTTTAAACATGGAAGGGGTTAAAAAAACTCCAAGATCAACTCCCACTTATTATAAACGAACTCTGGAGAAACTGCAGCAGATTTTACTGTACTAAATGAATTTGGTCATCTCTAAAAAGTTTTTTTTTTTTTTTAAATACAACATACCCTGAAATATTTTAATTTATTCAAATAGGTTGTCGTTATTAGAATATTAGCAGTATAAAGCAGTATAATTATTAGCAGTATGAAGATGTTGTTATCTATCACTAGCTTGACATCAACATTTAGGTTGGAAAAGGCTATTCTGTAATTATTTTCGTCTAGTTTCACTTTGATTATTTACATGAAAATCCAATAAATATGGACAAAGAAACTGAATACCAGAATATTAACTGTCTACAGCATCTGTATGCTCTTTCCTGATTCTATTTGTTGTAAAATAACAATTATTTCTCTCCAGTTAAGGCTTTCAGACTCTAGGAACATGTCAACATATTAACGTGGAATAGAACTGTGTGAAACCACTTTACGAAACTCATCTATTTGTTTTAAGCTGCTATGTACTCTTCAAACATAGATGGCTCTTACATACAAAATTTACATTTAAAAGTTAAAGAATTTATCTTTTCGAGTAGCAGTGGCCAAATGATTTGGATCGCTGAACGGAACGGAATTCCCATTACTAATAATAACGCATCCGTCATCGACAAAGACGTTACCCTGGGTCAAGATAATTCACCCCTCTCCTTTTAAGTCAGGGGGTGATCTTTGTAGGCGTGTAAAGGCAAATTGAAATTTTACTTACTGTTTTGGACATTAAGTGAGGGAACAATAACCATTACAATTCCTTTTGGGAAAGGGGAAGGTAAATCACTTATTAAGAGTAAAGAAATGGAAAAATGGCAAAAGAGGTGGAATGAATATAAGAAAGGAAGAGGATAATATAAGGAACAAAAATCAGTATTAAATCATTTATGAGAGAAACAGAAGGGAAGAAGTAATATTGATCAGATTAAGAGGGGGTAATACCTATTTAAATGACTATTTATATTTAATAGGGAGGAAAAATAATGGTAAATGTGAAGGATGTGGAGAACATGTAGTGATGAACTGTAAAACTTATGAACATGAAAGGGATAAATTGAGAAGAAAGGCTGGAAGGACAGGCCAATAATGGAGTCTTAAAGGAATATTGGGAAATTAAGGAAATATAAAGGATATTCACAGATTAAGGAAAGCATTATTTATTTATCTACAGAATACAAAATAAAAAAAATAGAATTGGATGTAAAGTAATGTTGCTACATACTCATGGACAGTAGATGGCGGTATCCGCCTTAAAGTTGCTTGCGATCCGCTTTTATAGAAAAGAAGAAGAAGAAAAAGAAGGAAAATTAAGACCCAAACCAACAGTTCAGTAAATAAAAACCTCTGGAGCAGTGTCCAAAGATTGAAGAAGATTAATTGATTGTTAAAAAGAAAGATTTTTTTTCTTTTCATGGTAGAAGTGATCAACTGTAGTGCTCAGACGACTTGAAAAACCGAAAAATAAATAAATAAAATAAAATAAAAATAACAGTGAAAGCTGCAGAAAAGTATCTTGAAGTGAGATTTAAACTGGTAAATGGTTGAAAACATGATGTTGGTGAAACCAATTGGACCATCAGAAACTGGCAGAGTGACTTTACTTAAAAGACAAATAAAAAATTATGAGGGCGAATTTGATTAAGTATTTATTATTTTGTGTTAAGTTAAACCGTTTGGAAAAATATAAATTTTTCATTTATTTATTTGAGTCTTGTTTACTTTTTTAACTCCTTATCAGCTGGTGGCGGTAATGCACTTTTAACTAGTTTGCCAACCGCCATAAAACCTCACAAGAAGAAGACGACGAAGAAGAAGGAAATCAGTAGGGTATTATCTTGTCAAGTCTGGTCTTTGAGCAGCTAGCAGCTCCCCGCAGCCTGGTGTCCCTCTCTCTCTTCCCATCCCTGTCAGCTCGCCTT